ATACCATTTATTAAGTCACCTATCATCTCTCCAATAATGTGAAATATTACCTTAATCATATTCTAAATTTCCAAATACAATTTAACATATGCCAATATTTCCAGTCTGTTACATTAGTCTTTCTGTCAATTCACAAGGCAATATCACACTCTTATATTGTACAAACTTCATTATGCATTTTAATATCTAGTAGGATCAACCCCCAGTCCCTACCATCAACCAACATTCTTCTTTTTCATGGTTTATCTGACTATTCTTGGTGTTTGTCCTCCCAAATAAAGGTGTCAATTAACTTGGTTAACTCAATAAAAAATCAAATTGTATTTTTATTGGGATCACATTAAATTAATAACCTAAGGAAAATTGGCATTTTTTTGGCTTGAAAGTACTTAACATGTTTTATAAAAGTACACTTAGAATCATTTACATAGGTTTGAATTTTCATTGCTGAAAAACAGATAAGAATAACTACCCAACAGTTGCTGGAGATATGCTCTTACAAGTACTAGATTTTATTTTTTAAAATAATTGTCTTCATGGTGCTAGAAATAGTCACTGTACATATTATATGCATTTTTAGAGTGGGCTTGCTTTGGCTTTCATGTACCCAATACATAAAATTAATTCCATTTTTTTATGACAAAGTTAATGCATTAGACAAATAATTGAGAGAACATCTCATGCTTAATGACCCAGAGCTCTTGCTAAGAGGCACCCCTCTCCCACCTACAGGGCCCTGGAGGGCAGAGTCTGTGAGTGTAAGTGTAGATCTAGGGATCAGAAGGCAGTAACTGGCCTGCAGGAAATACATGAGACCCTCCTCAGAAGGCCACTAGAGAGCACAACATCTGATACAATTATGATTTTACATAGAAGGGACCTCTGACATGCTCTGTCCTCTTTGGGGACCTGGAAGAGGTGCCAGTCGTTTAGATCAGAAATTTCAGCCTGAGGTACCAATGAGACCAGACAGAAACATGGGTGTGTGGACTGGCCAGGCATAGGACTCAGATTCTGGCAGCATTTGGTGAACTGGAGACATTGACCCACCAAAGGGCATTCAATCTACAAGGAGATTGAGGATACCCACCTCATACTTGAGCCCAGAGGTTGTGGGCCACCAGGAGTGGCTGAGGCAGGCTGGAAGCACAGCAGGCTGTGGTAGAGGCCTCCCAAAACCTTCCCACTCAAGGAGTTCATAAAAAGGAGATAAAAAAATAAGTTGTTGGCTTCAGCATGGATAGTATTCACCATCCCAGAAGCAATGGGCAGGCAAAAGACAGATGTGGTATCTTCCCTGTAACAGCCTTAGTCCCTGCTGGTTACTCTCCATGGCTACAGCTGTCTCTGGGGTCCCATGGTGGTTACACTGTTGCTGCCCCAGGTTTCCTCCAACACTATTCCACTTTTGACAAGGGTCTTGATTGTGTCACCTGGAGTTCTGTCACTGTATGGGCTCAGGTCACTGTCTGCCACCACTAGTTTCCTCCACAGAACCAATGGCACAATACTCATGGATAGGCCCCATGGAGAACTGAGGAAGGGAAGGTTTCCCAGGATGCCAGTTTCCCACCTCTGTTGTCTTCTGTCACAACATGGTGGCTCTTCCTCCCTGTTGCTGACCCCATGCAGGGCCCATAAGCCTCAGATTTCTCTTCTTCTCCTTGTGGAAAATAAACTCATCTTCTGGGATGTAAAATGCACATGCAAGTTGACTCCTTCCCATTGAGGCATGGAACCTGTTCAGTCTACACTCAGGCCAGACTCCTTTGTACTTGGGGCCACCTGTGAGTCACTGCAGATGTGACTGAGGATCAGAGGGGACTTCCCAGATGGCTTCCTCCATGCAGAGGCCCTTTGGAAGGTGGCATCCATGTCAGAAAACATATTCCAGTGAGTGATGACATTCCAGAGCAGATGAGAGTCTGGACTGTGAGCAGCCATCTTCAGGGAAGTGATAAGGATATCTTTGCCCTCACAGGCAAAAGCTGTCCCAGGACTTCTTGGCAGTGGTGTCAGATGAGGAAGATACTGGGTGTTGCACATGGCTTTGCCATCTCCTCTCTATGGACTGGTTTACTCTATGTTGATACCTTTAGTACCTTGAGTCTTCTTATCAAAGACTATCACATGTCTATTTGTTCAAACCTTGTTTATTTTACATATGTTTACACATTGCCTCTTAAGTTTATCCCTTCATATCCTTTTTTCTTTAGATCTTTTTTTGTTTTTTTGAACATGTAAGGGCTTTTAATAGTTAATAGTTTTACCTGCTACTTTACTAAATTCTCCTTTTGTTTATAGTAATTGGGGGGGTTCTAATTTGTAATAATCAACAACAGATACAAAGAGATTTTACCACTGATCAATATATGATCTCTTCAATATGATAGTGATGATATATTGATTGGCAAAAAAGTTTTTTTTTTCTGACAAGTTTTTTATTGTGAAACATTGTATTTAGAAAAAGGTACAAAATGTTAACAGTCAGATGTGTACAAATACAGTATTTCAAGTCTATATATGTGAACAGCTTAACAGGTTCACGCAGAATGCATATTTAGACCAATACAATCTAAAAAGGACTGTAATATTCACAGGCTATTAATACATGAATAACTTGAGCCAAAATGACCCTCTCTGGTAAATGCTAATAGCTGAAAACAGGCTAAGAAGCATGATACGGCACATCATAGTATCTCCTTACAGGTCCACATTTAAAGAATATGAGCTCCTTATGTCAACATATAGGTCCAGGACTGGGACTCAATTGATAGTTTATACAATTGCAAAGAAATTAAGTTATAAAATATAATCATGAAATAAGGAGAGGGTAATTAGTGCTAAATAGTGTAAAGCCTCTAAAAGATTTTAGCAAAGCTTAATTATTTAGACTAATTTTCAATTTTCAATCAGTTACCTAAAAAGTGATAAGGGGCACCTTTCTTTTGTAGTGGCTCCAACAAGGTGTAAGAACTATTACACAGCTTATTTTGCTTATTTTAAAACCATAATAACCACTGTGGACTGACAAATGACTATGAAACCAGAATATAAAACATTAAAAATTTTAGAGAAAGGTAATGACTATCTTATAAACTTAGCAAATCCTGCAAACATTAAAATCTGTGTTAAGAAGGCAGTATGTAGTATCGTTAAACATACTAAATTTAGGAGGACTATTACATGAAAATCTAATAAAAATAAACTGGTTTAGTTCTTTCAAGTCTGATTGGTCCAGACTTTTATTATCACTTGAAAATTACTGTAGATTATATATTTTCACATTGGACAATTATATGATATTAACTTATAATGAATAATCACAGGAATAATCTACTGAAACATGAGTAATGTTAAAAACAATTGCAATCATTCTGTGTTTTGAGGAACAAATGACCTTTGATGACATTCATAATCAGTGCCTGTTTTTAAAAAAGTTTCCAAACTTGATAAAATAATCAGTCTACTTCAAACAAATTTACTCTTGTTCATAAATTCCTTAGAGAAAGAACGTTCCACTCTATCCAGTATATCTACCAATGCCCGATGCTTTAAAATTCAACTAAAAGTCTGAACTGGCATATATTATTAAGTAGGATATCAATTCCATTATAGGCTGAAAACCAATGGATCAAAATATAATTAGTCAATAACTTCCCATAACCTATCCCATCCTACCCTAACCTTTTATAGACAGTTTTAAAGACTCTTATATAATTTTCTTATAAATAGTACCTGAATCTTAAACAATAGATTCCAATTTATTCAAAGATAGTCACAGATTGGTTTAATAGTTATTTAATTTTTTTCCAGATTTGCCTTAAACTTACAAGTTAATTATGGTGTACATAAATATTGACTTAGATAACCACATATTATAAGGAAAGCAGGTATATGGACCACTGCAGAAAAATTATAAATTTTTAAAAAAATTATAAAAGAAAAAATAAAGCAAAACATGTAACTTACAAAATAGGAACATGAAGCCATATCCCATAAAAAATAAAATTACTCTATCAAGAAATGATTTAAAATTAAATCTATGGGGGAGTATTTTGACATAATTCAATGAATTCAATGACCAACTGCTTCCCTTATCACACAGAAACAAACCACAAAATCATCTAAAGTCTATTTGCATCATCAGTTCTTAATGCAACCTCAAACATTTTACTAGCAACTTTGATTTCCTTTTAAAATAGGCTTCTGTACATATGCATTTATATACATTTATTAAACATGATTTAAAAAAAAACTATATACAAAAGATCAGCATTCCTATAAATAAAAACATTAGGTGGCAAAAAGGCACTTGTAAGTAAAAATCCACAGTAGTTTTTACAAGACAAAACACATTTTACCTTGGATACTGTACAATAAACATAAATTCCTATAGCAATAATGAAAATACCAGTTTACTAACTAATGTTAATGATGTAAACTTTAAAAATATATTTACATATTCTCTGAAGCTCATTTAATAAAAGCACCATGATTCCCTCCTAAATTAATGTTGATACAAAGGGAAACAATTACCAAAAAAATGAGTATTCACCATTTTCCTTGTTTAAAAGTTTTTTGTATTTCTAAATTGAAACCTGTTTATCTGAAATTACCATGGTATAAAACAAAAATAAAACAAAAACCCTGCTGCTCTGATTTCTTAAAACCATACTTATTCTATTATTGCATGTTGCATTTTATAAAAAAGCACTACTCATGTACTCCTTTTACAACTGTTTAATACAATTGCTGGCAAAAAAGTTCCTGGTATCATATAATTAAAAAGTTTCTTCAAACCCGCTGAAGTTTTATTTGAATGTTTTACAACTTAAAAAATGCTGTATGTCAGTTACAAAAGTGAATAGGAAACAAGCCAGTTCATTTGGTGTGCAAAAATATTTTTCCACTACACAGAATTTAAGGGCTTCACAGAATTTTTTTCAAATTAACATTTTCAGCAGAAATGCTAAAGCAGTAACTTTCTCAAAGGGATGTTAGTATCTTCCACTTTTGTCAAACTTTTTACCCTTTGACAATGCTGCAACCTGCTTTAGTAGTTCTCTGTTTTTGGCCTGAAGTTCCACAGTTTCTTTGTGAGCTTTTTCCATACTGTTCATCTTTGTTCTCAAGTTTGACTCTTGGTACTGGAAGTCTGCTTTTAGTTCAGTTAACTTTTAATCTTTTTCTAAAATGGTCTGGTCTCTCTGCTGTAAGAGACGTTTAAGTGACATCACTTCTTCTTTCAGTTGACTTATAAGGACAAAATTGTCTGTTCCCCCACTATCTGCTGACTGATTTATAAAGCTACTATCTCCATTAGATGGCTTAGATTCCAATCTGGGCTTTTTCTTTGGAGTTTCATTCTGAATTGCTGCAGTGGATTTATGGCTCTGTTTCCACAGTCCCTGCTCTTGTTCTGGACTCAGATTGCTGATTTTGTGATGGCTACTGCTGTGACGATGGTGATGGTGATGATGGTGGTGATGATGTTTTGAATGATGCTGGTCTTTCTCAGTAAGAGATGAAGAAGATGAATTTGAATGTGAAGATCCCAAGCTCTTCCTCTGCTCCTTTGTTTTCTGTAAGACTCTCTTGTATGATAAAGTACAGAGCCAGCACAATAATTTTCCATCAACCTTTCTTCTTCCCTCCTTCTTCCAATCAAAAGCACATTGTTGTTTGCACTGTTCACAGGTCTGAGGTGGTCCATATTTTTTTTCTGAATTTGTGCAACGCTGACACTTTGTACCAATAAATGCTGCAATTATGTTACAGTACTGACAAGGCTTAGGAGTGCCAAATTGCTTCACATTTTGAGCACACTTCTTGCAAAGTGTATTAGTTTTGCTCTCTTGTTGAAATTCTGATCTGCAGTAAGTACATTTTACAATAGGATGCGCAATCCGACATTCCTTGCAGAGCTGCTGGCCCTGGGAGAGCTCCTCGAACGGATAGCACTGGGTACAGTTGGTGCAGGCGTACAGGGCCGAGGCCACCATCCTGCTCCTCAGTCTCCTCCTCCCAAAAGTTTTTTTTTTTATCTGTAAGGTGGCTCTAGTAGTGCTTAGTTGTCTTTAACTTCATTCGAAACAATTTTGTTAGATTGTATTATGACAGATGTCATATCAGTGTGCATTTTTAAAAAACATCAAAATTGGTGAATTTTTGTGCAACCATTTTAATGTTGAAGATGGGAGAAAATACACAACATTTTCAGCATATTATGCTTTATTATTTCAAGAAAGGTAAAAATGTGACTGAAATGTAAGAAAAAGATTTGTGTAGTGTATGAAGATGGTGTGGTAACTGATTGAATGCGTAAAAAGTGGTTTGTGTGGTTTTGTGCTGGAGATTTCTCACTGAACAATGTTCCAAAGTCAGATAGACCAACTGAAGTTGATAGAGACCAAAATTGAGACATTAATCAAGAATAATCAATGTTACACCACACAGGAGATAGCCAACATACTCAAAATGCCCAATTCAGTGAAGTTATTGATGAAAATGAAAAATACGTCTTTCATTTTATGGAAGAACCATACAGACTTTTTGGCCAACCCAGTAATTGTTGCCTTGACTCCGTTATTACACTGGATTATATTAATAGGTTTTTTAATATTGAAACACTTTTGTGTTCTTGGAATAAGCTCCATAAGGTCATGATTTATTTTGTATGTGCTCTTCAATTGTGTATGATATTCCTTCATATTATTTTATGATGTTATTGTGTATTTTCATTTTTGGTGCATTTTTGCCATTTTAAATCAATTTTATACTTGCTTCATCATTTTACATATTTTCTATGCTTTTGGCATAGTTTAAATAGCATTGGGATTAACCCTGGCTGGTGTGGCTCAGTGGATTGAGTACCGGCCTGCAAACTGAAGAGTCACTGATTCGAATCCCAGTCAGGGCACACACCTGGGTTGCGGGTCAGGTCCCCAGTTAGGAGTGCATAAGAGGCAACCACATATTGAAGTTTCTCTCCCTCTCTTACTCCCCTTCTTCCCCTCTCTCTAAAAATAAATAAATAAAATAAAATAAAAAAAAACATTGGGATTATGTAGATTTGCCAGAATTCTCAAGACCCTGGAAAGATCTGAGTCTGGTGCTTTTATTATGGAAATTTATTTAACCCAATTCACTGTTTCTTCTTGAATACAGTTTTGTATATTTTTCACTTAAGAGACTTGAAGTTCCTTGTTTTAAAGACAATGTTACCCTTGTCATTGTAAATTTTGTGTACATTCATGTGCTACTTAAGGCCAGGGATATGTTCTGAGAAAGGCATCATTAGGCAATTTCATCATTGTGTGAATGTCACAGAGCGCACTTACACAAGCCTAGGTGCTACAGCTTACTACTGTAATTGTATATCATATACTCTTAGAGGACTTGAAGTGCAGTAGGTTTGTTTACACCAACATCACCATAGACATATAAGTAATGTGCTATGCTGTGACTTTACAACATCACTAGGTGATAGAAATTTTCAGTTCCATTATAATCTTATGAGACCACTGCTGTAAATGTGCTTTATCATTTACTAAAAAGTCTTTAGGTGGTATGTAACTATAGACTAAAAAATTTAATTAACTGTGTATGTGTGTGTTTCTTCTTTAAATTATATTTTATTGATTATGCTATTACAGTTGTCCTCATTTACCCCCTTAGCCCCCCTTCACCAAGAACCCCTCACTCCCTCAGGCAACTCCTGCACCATTATTAATGTCCATGGGTCATGCATATAAGTTCTTTGGCTACTCCATTTCCTAAACTGTACTTTACATCCCCATGGCTATTCTGTAACTACCTATTTGTACTTCTTAATCCCCTCACACACACACCCCCACATCTGGCAACCATCAAAACACTCTCCATATCCATGATTCTGTCTCTCTTCTTGTTTTCTTAGTTTGTTTTTTGTATTCGATTGTTGATAGATATGTATTTATTGCCATTTTATTGTTCACAGTTTTGAACTTCTTCTTTTTCTTAAATAAGTCCCTTTAACATTTTATGTAATAATGGTTTGATGATGATGAACTCCTTTAGTTTTTCTTGTCCGGGAAGCTTTTATATACCTTTCAGTTATAAATAATAGCTTTGCTGTGTACAGCAATCCTGACTGTAAGTCCCTCCTTTTCATGACTTTGAATATTTCTTGCCAATCCCTTCTAGCCTGCAAAGTTTCTTTTGAGAAGTCAGCTGACACTCTTATGGGAACTCCCCTGTTGGCAACTAACTGTTTTTATCTTGCTGCTTTTAAGATTCTCTTTTTGTATTTAACCTTTGGAATTTTAATTATGATGTGTCTTGGAGTGGGCATTTTTGCATCCATTCTTGTTTGAGACTCTGTGTTTCCTGGACTTGCATGTCTATTTCCTTTGCCAAATCAGGGAAGTTTTTTTGTTTTTTGTTTTTCATTATTTTTTTCAAATAATTTCCAATTTCTTGCTCTTTCTCTTCTCCTTCTGGCACCCCTATCATGTGAATGTTGGAACAGTTGAAGTTGTTCCAGAAGCTCCTTACGCTATCCTCATTTGGGGGGATTCTTTTTTCTTTTTGTTGATCTGATTGTGTTTTTTTTTTTTTTAAATCATTGATTTGATTCTTGGCTTCATCCACTCTACTGTTGTTTCCTGTAAATTGTTCTTTACTTCAATTAGTATATCTACTGTTTCTGACCAGATCTTTTTTATGTTGTTGAGGTCCTTGCTGAGTTCCTTGAGCATCCTTATAGCCAGTGTTTTGAACTCTACATCTGATAGATTGCTTATCTCCATTTCATTTAGCTTCTTTTCTGGAGATTTGATCTGTTCTTTCATTTGGGCCATGTTTCTTTTTCTCCTCATTTTGGCAGCCTCCTTATTTTGTTTCTATGTATTAGTGGAGCTGCTTTGACTCCGTGTGTTGGTAGTGTGGCCTAATGTAGTAGGTGTCTTATAGGGTCCAGTGGCACAGCCTTAGCTGGGTACTAAAGGTGTGCCCTCTCTGTGTGCTGAGTCACCTAAGCTGGGTACTCGAGGTGCACCCTCCATGTGGGCTGAGTATACCTTCTTCTTGTTGTTGAGCCTTGACTGCTGTTGTTAGGTCAATTGGAGGGATTTAGCCAGGGAAGTCAGCTGCAAGGATTGGCTGTGACCACTGGCCCCCAAATTCCCCACTCCCTGGAGGATCAGCTATGCAGGGACAGAGTGGTGGTTCTCTGATGTGGTCTGTAGCTGTCCACTGGGTTCACAGGCTCTGGGGTTTCCTGGATGGTGCAGGCCAAAGACAGCCCTCGCCTGTGTTCTGTTTGGTGCCATCCTGCATGAAGTATAAAGCAATATGCTACTTGTGCTGAGATTGGAGTTTCCCAGATGAAACCAAATGATGAACCAAAGCTGTATGCTACTAGTGCCAGTCCTGGGGCCACTTAGGAAGAAGTACAGGGACCAGGGGCGCTTAATGAGGGGGGCTGTTGCTTATTTTAGAGGATTTAAGAAGTTGTGAAGCATGCACCAAGACCAGCCATTCATATGGAAAAGCCACTGCTTACAGCTTGGGTGGGACAGAGCCTCAGAGGATCTCCAGGGCAAGGCAAATGGTGTTAGCCTGGTTGATGTAGTTTCAGATATGGCACCTGCTTGATGGCTCTGTGAGTCTGTTGGCAGAGACTTTAGAAATGGAACAATGGCCTCTGCTTTCCTTTCTGTCTGGGAGAAAGTTGCCCCTCAGTTCCCACCTTGATGCCAGACATTTCAGTTCTTCCCAGTATCCTACTGGTACCTTTCAAACTGTTATCCTGGTGCTGGAGCTCAGAGGGAGTGAGTCTGAGTAAGTCTGTGTGTGGGTTCTTTAAGCAGAACTACTTAAGTTTCCTCCACTGACTCAACCCTTGCTGATTGTTGCAGCCAGAAGTTATGGGGAATTACCTTCCAGGCACTGAAACACAGGGCTGTGAGGCCTGGTGTGGGGTTGGGACTCCTCACTCCTGAGATATCTCTCCTGAATGTTCTCCACCATTTGTGGATATGGGACCAGTCCAGTCCACATCTCCACGCCTCCAACCAACCTGGATGTATGTGGTTTCTTTAATTCTGTAATTGTTGGACTTCCATTCAACTTGACTTCTGATGGTTCTGAGTGATGGTTGTTCTACAGTTTAGTTATAATTTTGACGTGGTTGTGTGAGGAGGCGAGGCACGTTTACCTGTTCTGCCATCTTGACCAGAAGTCCATGTGCGTTTCTATGTCTCCTCTGGCTGTACTCCCTTAAATGCACACTCACAGTTGCAGTTTTACACTCAGTTCAGAATGAAGCTGGTTTTCCAGTTTCTTTTAGATATCCCAGAAAATAGGCTTTTTGTCATAGAAAAGTGATGAATACAGAAGAATTGCTTTAGGTAAGTGAAAATCCAGAAAATCTTGGCTGAACCCACTAATTTAGCTGCCCACTGCTATCCCTCCCTCTCCCTTATTCAGCCCTCTGGTCTGCGACTCTCAGAGCTGCAATCCTGGATCTGGCTACCAGGTGGCATCACATCTTTCTCCATTTTGGTTGTACTTTTTTAATGAAAAGGAGTACATTTTGTGAAAAGTTAACAAATGTGATATTTTCTTTTGTTATGATACCAATTCTGTTTAGAATTTCCACATATACATATGTTAAAGGAGTTCCATCTGATTTTGACCTCAATTTACAGGACACTCATTGGTGTGTATATCTTCCCTTCTCTGTGTAGGTTGATTTACAGTGTGGACTGTACAGATAGTTCTAACCAGAGAGCAGAACATTCATACTTCATACCCTACCTCTGTATAGGTTTCTCAGTACTTCTCCAACCAACTGCATGTTATGCTCTGTTCATGACACTGGACACAGCTGTCTAAATCTTTCTTATGCCCTGTCTTCTCTCAGCCACCTCCCACCTGCCCTGCGCTGCCCTCCTCTTGCCCATTGCTCACTGCCAAATCATTGTTGTGATTCATTGTATGGGGGCTCTGGAGTATGTTT